ATTCAGGCTATTTGTTGCCATAGCAACCAGAATTTTCAACATAAAAAGAAAAGAAAGTTTCATGAAAATATTTTCAGTACTTTTTGAGTTATCACTGGATCCAGTTTATGTGTTAAATTTGCCATTTTCAGACTATTAGTTGTCATAGCAACCAGAATTTTCAACATAGGAAGAAAAGAAAAAGATGTGCATAATCTCCATACTGCCATCTATCCATATATCAAGTTTCATAAAAATATTTTCAGTACTTTTTGAGTTATCACTGGATCCAGTTTATGTGTTTAATTTGCCATATTTTCAGACTATTAGTTGCCATAGCAACCAGAATTTTCAACATAGGAAGAAAAGAAAAAGACGTGCATAATCTCCATACTGCCATCTATCCATATGTCAAGTTTCATTAAAATATTTTCAGTACTTTTTGCGTTATCGCGGGATCCAGTTTTGTGGACGGACGGACTGACAGACGTTCTCACAGGACAGTAATTATGTGGCTACTCTATTGTTCTCTCTATTGTTCTTTTTAGCCACACAAAAGAAAATAGCCACATAAAAGCATTACGGAATGAATGACATCAAAGAGAAAGAACAGTTACCTATTGTCTCTCTAGCCACATAATTACTCTCCTGTGAGTGCGGACTGACAGACGGACAGACAGACAGTCGGACGGAGGGTAAACCTAAAGTCCCCTCCGGTTAAACCGGTAGGGGACTAATAAGCAGAACCATTCTGACAATTAAGGCCCCTGTGACCTTGACCTTTGAACTATTGACCCCAAAATCAATAGGGATCATCTACTTGTTATGACCAGGGCTTGAGCTAGGGTATTGACTTGGGCAAAGAAGTCGCCTTCTGACCAGCGACTTCGCTCTAAACAAACTTCAAAGCGATATTGCTAGGTCTGTCTCAATTACAACCAATTACTAAATTAAATCCACTAGTTAAGAACGGGTGTCCGCATCAACAAAGTCTAATACACGGCGGCAAGCAAGATTTCACTATGTATATCCTTCTCATTATCAGTTTGCATTGACCAATCGGTGATACTATAACATACTGTGGCTATTTGTTGACAATTACACAAAATGGAGACAAATCCATTCAATTTTCCCAATTGCATGATTTAAGACACCTGCATATACATAATTGTTGCAGTGTTTTGGCAAGTAAAGATGAACAATGCGCAACATCTTAACGGTGTGGTTATGTGCGAAAACCCGATTGTTAAAAACTTTTGTAGCACAAATCTGTAGAAATTATGTGAAGATTTGTATCTAATTTTAATACATTGACCTCTGTAAAGAAAACACACAAAATAAATGTCTCTAACATTCTGGTTTGTGGGCAAATAGCTAAACGAAAATTATATACAATGACCAGTCTGACCCACTGCCAATGGCAAGTTGCACTGCCCTATCTGCCCTGAATATTGTTACCAACTAAATTTATACTCACTACATGTATACAGTATATGTAAATATTGTGTTTTCTATTGGTATACATTTATGAAAAGTAAATTTATATTAGAATTATTTTATTTGAGAGGTATTTTTTTATTTCTTTTCTGGTTTGTAAAGTTTCCAGGCTTATATTTCTCCAGAAGATGCCTAATATGTCTCCAAACTTCTCCCTAAAGTCTCCTCACTTCTCCCTAAATCTGCTGGAGGAAGAAGTCTTTTCTTCCTAAAATTTTGACCTAGCTCAAGCCCTGATGACCAATCCCTGTGTGAAATATGAAGACTTTGTGATGAATAGTTTTCAAGATAATCAGTGGGGAAACCATACTAACATTCAAGGCCCCTGTGACCTTGACCTTTGACTTATTGACCCCAAAATCAATAGGGGTCATCTACTAGCTATAACCAATCAATATGTGAAATATGAAGACTTTGTGATGACTAGCTTTCAAGATAATAAGCAGAAACCATACTACCATTTAAGGTCCCTGTGACCTTGAACTTTGAACTAGTGACACCAAAATCAATAGGCGTCATCTAATAGACCTTGATCTTTTAGGGAGTGACCCCCAAATCAAAAGGGATCATCTACTAGTTATGACAATCAATATGTGAAATATGAAGACTTTGTGATAAAATAGTAACCAAGGTAATGAGCAGAAACCATTCTAATATTTAACGCCACTGTGACCTTGACCTTTAACCTGGTGACCCCAAAATCAATAGAGGTCATCTACTAGTTATGACCAATCAGTATGTGAAATATGAAGACTTTGTGATAAATTGTAACATTAAAGGCCCCTGTGACATTGACCTTTGACATAATGACCCAAAATTCAATAGGGATCATCTACTAGTTATATGACCAATCACTATGTACAATATGAAGACTTTGTGGTGAATAGTTTTCAAGATAATCAAGAGAAACCATTCTGATATAAAGGCTCCTGTGACCTTGACCTTTGACCTGGTGACCTCATAATCAATAGAGGTCATCTACTAAATTTATCCAATCACTGTGTGAAATAGGAAGACTTTCATGAATAGCTTTCAAGATAATCAGCAGAAACCATTTTGACATTTAAGGTCCCTGTGACCTTGACCTTTGACCTAGTGATCCCAAAATCAATAGGTGTTGTCTACTCGTTATGACCAATCAGTATGTGAAATATTAAAACTTTGTGATAAATAGGTTTTAAGATAATCAGTGGAAACCATGTGGTCAACCAATGGACGGACAGACCAACGGCCCAACATGGAAGACTTTCATGAATAGCTTTCAAGATAATCAGCAGAAACCATTTTGACATTTAAGGTCCCTGTGACCTTGACCTTTGACCTAGTGATCCCAAAATCAATAGGTGTCGTCTACTCGTTATGACCAATCAGTATGTGAAATATTAAAACTTTGTGATAAATAGGTTTTAAGATAATCAGTGGAAACCATGTGGTCAACCAATGGACGGACAGACCAACGGCCCAACATAAGCAAAATAATATACCACCTTTACTTCGAATGGGGGGCATAAAAATCCTAAAAAGCTTTTGAAAAACTTAAAAAGTCTATAAGGTAAACAGAAATTCAACGGACATTTTATATAAATGAAGACAATGGGCAGTTATAGCAAAAAACAGTGAAAATTCAATAATTTTACCATCAAGGTCATGAAAAAGCCAAGGTCAATGAGGTCAATCCATCCCTAATAACAAAGTTATAGCTAGTTACAGCAAAAAAATATTGAAAACTTCATTAATTTGACCTTCAAGGTCAAGGTCATTTATGAGTGAAGGTCAAAGTTTGTCTGATTGACTTGAAGGTTTATCCTAAAATATTATTATGTACAAGTTTTAAGACAATCCATGCAAAAATAACAAAGTTATAGCCACTTAAAGCAAAAATCAGCAAAAGCAAAGCAATATTTAGACATTTAACCTTGAAGGTCATGGTCATTTATGAATGAAGGTCAAAGTTAATCAAGTCTACCTACTTGAAGGTCTTGTCCCAAGGATTGTTGTGCCAAGTATGAAGACAATACACTAAGAACTTAAAAAGTTATGATCAAGTTTAAAGTTTGTGGACAGCTACTGCAATGCCAACATGACCGTAACAGTACCTCTATTTATTTTTTATTTTATTTTTTTTTGTTCAAAAAAAGTTGACTTAAAAAGTTATGGTCAAGGTTAAAGTTTGTGAATGGCAACACCACCATGACTGTAACAATAGCTTCTTTTTTTTTTTTCTTAAAAAAAAAAAGTCCAGCTAAAAATCAATTTGTCTAAATTTGTACAGAGAATCTACTCATTTCATCCTAGATTAAACATAATTATTCATGAATATCCATACAAACTTGCAAAATACCTAAAATGTAACAAATAACTACGGTTCAAGTCACAGGATTATGTCTATATTTTAAGTTTCAAATCAATTCCTTGATAATTTTTTTGTGCTTATGCTCTGGACCAACTGACAATCCCAAAGATGACTAAAACTTTGCTTGTAGGGATCTAATAAATTTTTCAATACACAATATACATCTGTGGTTCTACTCAGGTGCCTGTTTTGCCAGAAATAATGCCAGGAAGGGCACTTGAGGTCTTCCTCCACCAGTAATGCACGAACATAGGCATATGACCTATACTGTGTCTGTGTGATGAATAACTTAATAAAAAATTTTTACACATTACTACAGTAAACATCTAAATATGCTTTTTCCTTTACACAATTATTTTATCTAGTCCTATTTTTTTTTTTACTTTGTGATACAGTGAGTCAACTCTGCTTATAACGAATTCAATGGGACATTTAAATATCGTTCATTATATCCAAAGTTTGCTAAAACAATGTAGCAACAACATTCTTGCTGACTTGTTTAGGTGAGCAAATTTGCAGTGAAAAAGCCATACCTGTCACCGGTGTAATCGGTGTAATAATTTCAACAGCGATAATTTTATGCCTTGAACAATATATTATGTACATGTATGACTTGTCTATAATGTGCTTACCATTTGTATTCTTTTGCTATTAAATGTTTGTTATTGTTAGGTTAATATACATACAGAAAATCAATTATTTGGTAATTATCAGGTATTTACAGCAATTTGTCAATTGAGGGTGCGAAAAACAATTAGGAACTTATGTTGTAAGAACATTTTATGAAACTCTTATAATTCCCTGAAGCCATAATTTAACTGTGCAATCACTCGATTGAATGACTATTGGATAGCGGTATTTATGTACTGACCTTTAATCGAGTGAATCCCAATATTTTTATCATAACATTTTGTTTAAAACGAGGACATTTATGTGTCTTCGCCGTTTGGGGCTTGAAAAAATGGTACATTGTAAGCTATAGCCGAAAATTTGTTTTAAGCAAGTACATTTTAAGCGATGTGTTTTTAATATAAAATAAAGAAGGGATCAGCCGCGGGTTTCAGTTTTAATTCGCTATTAACGATAATTGGTTATAAGCCAGTTGGTTATAAGTGGAATCGATTGTACATGTTCAAATACTTGCAATATCTAGAGAGATCAATGAACAAACCTTAAAGAATCTGAAGTAGTTCTTGCTCAACAAACTCTTCATTCTAGGATAGACCATCCGGTTGTTGAGAGAATCAATATTTTCAACTTTACAGGAACAATCGTCAACTTCTCCATGTAACTGAAATACAATGATAAATTCTTATTGTAAGACAAGAGGACCATGACAGCCCTAGATCACTTGCCTGAGAGACATTGCTAGAATAATGCAACTGTAGGTACAGTTTATTAATGCTGGGGTGTTTCATTTTTTACCTAAAGTGTATGATTATTTATTTGTTGAAGACAATTTGGCAATGATACATGCTAAATAATAAACAATTTTTGTTCATATACTGGAATAATGAATAATCTATTCTGATGATAACAAATTCAATAACAGGTAAAGACAGTGTTTAGCATTACACAATATTTGGTCTTAAATAATAATAGGTAATTATAATTCTTGTACTACAAATGCAAAATAAATTGAGGCTGAAGCTACTCACGATTGAGACCACTTTTTTCATTATCCACAACAATCAACAAGACAAAATGGTAGAGTTTTCACAGATTTTCTTTAACAGATTAGAGATCATTGCACCAATAAATTTTTATTACTTATACATTACAGGCAATTTAGTTTCTAAAGGTCTGTTAAAACCTAATGCTAGTTGGCCTTTATTTCTTTTATTTGCAATGGACAATAATATACCATCTCACAATGATCAACAAGACAAATTGGTGGGGTGCAGATATTTTTTCCAGATTCATACATGCCATAACTTCCCTGATGTCTGGGATTGTCCTGGAAATACATTTTTATCCCATGTGGTTCGAAGGGTAACAGTGTCAACAAGTGTAATTCATCAGAAATTGACTCTGCCTTGAGGCACTGATTATCTTCAAATAGTGCTAGAACATTGTAATGGTATTACTGCCAAACATCAAATGATATAGTTTTTAGAAACTGCTAGTTGTTTTAGCTATTTTGACCAAAAGAAACTAGAACTATCACTAAATGTGATTAATATCGCCACAAGACTGCTTCGGAAATGAGGAAGTTACGAGTTACAGAATACCTTGTAAAAGAATTGAACATTAGAGTCGGTTGAACCGGGTGATGCTCCCCAACTAGAATTTGGACACAGAAAAGTATATCTTTTGTAGTTTCAGAGTTATGTCCCAGACAAAGTTCAAAATCTGATAATTCCAAACTTAGGCAATGCAGAGTTACTGTTCTTTGCACTGCACTTCTACTCAATTAGATCTGTCTACTTACTTGTAGAATACAATATGGTGATCATTTCTGTGAAATAGTTGTAACTAGAACTGACTGTCCAAAGGACACGGATGCCCCCACTGACAACATATATATGGTATATAGTGAAAAAATCAACAAAGGGCCATAATTCTGTTAAATTTGGTTGCAGCAAAAAATTCCTTCCTTAACTACCATCTACACATTAAGGTTGTTCATCCCTGGAAGTTAAAGCAAAATCTGCCAACCAGTTTAAGAGGAGTTGCATTCACAAAATTTCTATATGGTATATAGTGAAAAAATCAACAAAGGGCCATAATTCTGTTAAGTTTGGTCGCAGCAAAAATCCCTTCCTTTACTACCATCTACACATTAAGGTTGTTCATCCCTGGAAGTTTAAGCAAAACCTGCCATCCGGTTTAAGAGGAGTTAAGTTCACAAAATTTCTATATGGTATATAGTGAAAAAATCAACAAAGGGCCATAATTCTGTTAAATTTGGTCGCAGCAAAAATTCCTTCCTTTATTACCATCTACACATTAAGGTTGTTCATCCCTGGAAGTTTAATTAAAATCTGCCATCCGGTTTAAGAGGAGTTGCGTTCACAAAATTTCTACATAGTATCTAGTGAAAAAATCAACAAAGGGCCATAATTCTGTTAAATTTGGTCGCAGCAAAAATTCCTTCCTTTACTACCATCTACACATTAAGGTTGTTCATCCCTGGAAGTTTAATCAAAATCTGCCATCCGGTTTAAGAGGAGTTGCATTCACAAAATTTCTACATAGTATCTAGTGAAAAAATCAAACTAGAAATGTGTCATCATGCCACAGATGCCCCCGCATGCAGCCAAAATTTCAGATGGTGCATTAATTATTTTTTTCATTTTAAGTTCAAAGCCCTTAAAACTTTTCAATGTTAACACAAACCATTTTCATACAATGTTCAAGGCACTGAAATTATTCAGTCTTAACCTTTTTGGATTTGGATATATAATTGTCTGACTTGATGAAGGACACATACAGCATTCCAGTGAAAAAGGTTTGGCTCGTTGAGTTTTAAAAAAAAAGATTTTTTAAGATTTATCTATACACATATAGTTAAAAGCAATGACACCCCTAGGGCGGGGCCAGTTTTGACCCCATTTGACACTCACTAGAAGATGTTTCATGCTTAATATCTAAACTCTAGCTATTTGGGTTAAAAAATTTTTAAATCAGATTTTTATGTTTTTGCTATACACATATATAATGTCCCCCGGGGCAGGGCCAATTTTGACCCTAGGGCTTTTATTTGAACAAACTTTGAAGACACTAACTGGAAGATGTTTCATGCTTAATATCTTAACTCTAGCTATTTGGGTTTTTTCAAAGAAGTTTTTTTAAGTTTTAGCTATACACATAAATAAAATCAATGACCCCCGGGGCGAGGCCAATTTTGACCCAAGGGCTTTTATATGAACAAACTTTGTAGACACTCACTAGAAGATGTTTCATGCATAGTAACAAAACTCTAGCTATTTAGTTATTTTTCAAAGTAGATTATTTTTTTAAAGTTTTTGCTATACACATATAAGGAAAATCAATGACCGCCGGGGCAGGGCAAATTTTGACCCCAGGGCTCTTATTTGAACAAACGTGATAGACATTCACTAGAAGATGTTTCATGCCAAATATCTAAGCTCTACCTTTTTTGGGTTTTTTAAAAGAAGATTTTATAAGTCTTTCAGGGTTCCCACAAAGAAGAGAAATCAAAATTCCCTGACTTTTCCATGACTTTTCCCTGACCAAGACCATTTTTCCCTGACCAACAACAGCGTCAAGTTTTCACAATCTTTAACGCATTAAACATATTTTTTTATATGCTGGTCTCCTCTTCCCAATATTAGCCAATTTCTTTTCTCCCTTTCGTTATTTTAAATTATTTCTGATACAGAATACATGTATATGAATATAAGCAACAATTGTCAATAGCTACTCCTTTAATTAGCATGAGTATATTTATCAAAAAGGAAAAGTATTTGATAACATAATTATGTCATGCTCAAATACGTTTCATTCTTGAGCATATAAAGCAGTTTAAAAAACTTTGAGATACTAACTATCATAGCTAGTTTTGTATAATTTCTGCCAAATATTAGTATTATTAGCTTTGCCTACATTTTGCTTTACATGAAGCCACTTCATAATTTGTCTTATGATTTCTTGTTAAAACAAAAGTTTTTAATTGATAACTAACATTTACTCAAGTAAATAATGCATGCCTATTTTAGTCAATCATTCATTGATTACACTGCTTTGTATGGGGAGGGGCCAAGATATAAAATATTGCATTTGTGAAAAATGCTATGTCACTGCATCAATATAACAGAGTAGATTTTGTTTGGTTCTATACAATTGAACTTTGCCATAATGCAGTTGTGTCTAGTGAATTTTGGGGTCAAGGTCATATTTCAGCACAAGACATATGAAAATAAATGTGCAGATGTGTCTAATGTTAAGATAGAAAGGCCATACAGAGTGCAATAATTGATAGGTATTTACTGTACATTGCTGTTTTAAACTTTGAAATACAGTTACATTTTTTTCTCTTAAATGCTATCTTTTCAATTAAGCATTACCAATTTCTTAGATAGTGAAAATTTAAAATAAGATCTTTTTTTATTATATATACATAATGACAAGAGCGATCAGTAATCACATGTGTCGCCTCATGATGGCCAATTTCATGTTGGGACAAATTTTGTGACAGACGGACAGCCAGACGGACAGTGCACAACTAGACTTGGTACTGATAATTCCTGTAAAGTTTGGATAAAATTGCACCAGTAGTTTATGAGGAGTAGTCCGGACAAGCTTTTGCGTATCTGGCAACACACAGAAAAAAAACACATTTTTATCAAAGGGCCATAACTCGGCCAAAAATCATTCAACCGGAAAACCCGTGCAATATGCGCAAGGACTTGAGCTACAGATCAATCCTGTAAAGTTCCATTGAAATTGCATTAGTGGTATAAGAGAAGTAGTCCGGACAAACTTTAAAAATAAAAATCATTAAAGGGCCATAACTCAAACAACAAGAGGGCCATGATGGCCCTGAGGTCGCTCACCTGTATATAGGCCCCCCCCCCTCAACCCCCCCCCCCCCCAACGTTGCTGAGCCAATTTAACCCAAGGGCTTTTATTTGCACAAACTTGGTAGACACCCATAAGAAGATGTTTCATGCTAAACATTTAAGCTCTAGCTCATTGGGCTTTTAAAAGAAGATTTTTTTTAAGTTTTTACTATACACATATAGTTAAAAACAATGACACCCCTGGGGCGGGCCAGTTTTGACCCCAGGGCTTTTATTTGAACAAACTTTGTAGACACTTACTAGAAGATGTTTCATGCTTAATATCTAAACTCTAGCTATTTGGGTTTTTTCAAAGAAGATTTAAAGTTTTTGCTAAACACATCTAAAAAAAAACTAAAACCCCCGGGGCGGGGCCAATTTTGACCCCTGGGCTTGTATTTGAACAAACTTGGTAGACACCTATTAGAACATGTTTGATGCTCAATATCTTAGCCATAGCTCTTTGAGTTCTTTAAAAGAAGATTTTTTAAGTTTTTACTATATGCATATAGGGAAAATCAATGACCCCCGGGGCGGGGCCAATTTTCACCCCAGGGCTTTTATTTGAACAAACTTGGTAGACACCCATTAGAACATGTTTCATGCTAAATATCTTAGCTCTAGCTCTTTGGGTTTTTAAAAGAAGATTTTTTAAGTTTTTACTATATGCATATAGGGAAAATCAATGACCCCCCGGGGCGGGGCCAATTTTGACCCCAGGGCTTTTATTTGAACAAACTTGGTAGACACACACTAGAAGATGTTT